ATATATATATATATATATATATATATATATATGTATATATATATATATATACATATATATATATATATATATATATATATATATATATATATATATATATATATATATATATATATATATATATATATATATATAGAGAGAGAGAGAGAGAGAGAGAGAGAGAAGTGGAAAATTATATATATATATATATATATATATATATATATATATATATACTATATATATATATATATATACATATATATATATATATGTATATATATATATATATATATATATATTATATATATATATATATATATTTATATATATATAATATATATATATATATATATATATACGATATATATACGATATATATATATATATATATATATGGTGATATATATATATATATATGGTGATATATATATATATATATATATATATATATATATATATATATATATATATATATATATATATATATATATATATATATATATATATATATATATATATATATATATATATATGGTGATATATATATATATATATATATATATATATATATATATATATATATATATATATATATATTTATATATTTTGATTTGGCATGCAAGGCCGGCAAAATATATAAATATATATTATATATATATATATATATATATATATATATATATATATATCTATATAATATATATATATATATATATATATATATATATATATATATATTGTGATTTGGCATGCAAGGCCAAATCAATTCTTTATATATAATTGATTTGGCATGCAAGGCCGGCGCGATAGGGGTGTGTGTGTGGGGGGTGTGTGACACCCCTCATCAATGATTTTTAGTCGGCAAACTGGACCCTTAGTCGGCAAATCGGACCTTTTTAGACTAGTTAGTCGGCAAATGTCGACCCTTTCGATATAGGTTAGACAGTCGGCAAATGTCGTAATGACAGTCGGCAAATTTTGTAAAACGAGGACCTTTTTTTTTTTTTTTTTGTCGGCAAAAGTTGTAATGGCACCCCCCCCCCCACGTGACACCTACTCGCGCCGGCCCTGTTGGCATGCATTTACAATCTGTAAGGTACTTGCTTGAAAATGGATTTATTGAAAGTTTACAAACTCTTTATTCAGAATTGTCAGTAAAGATTAATCTCCTTCATAAGTCAGATTTTTATCAGTTGTTGACTGTTCATAAGTCAATAAAGAGTAGAGCACGACATTCCTCAGGAGTCAAGAACAACTAGGCGGTGAAGTAAGATTTACTTTATTTATCCTAACAAGTAAAATAAAAAATTACATTTAAAATTTGTAAACATATTATCCCTGCGTTTGTTCATTTGGGGATGTAAATTTATATAGTAATAATATTATGAAATACATTTTTTGCCTTGATCTAATTGGTTCAACTTTTTACCAAACTGATTATTGTAAATAAATGATTAAATCCAAGTTTATTTTCCATTGAGCTTATTGTAGAATTTTTTTTACTTTAAAAAAATTTTTAATTGCCCTTTTTACAGATCTGATCAGATCTGTTTAAGCTCTGATCAGTTACAGTGATCAGTTACAGTGATCAGATACAGTGATCAGTTACAGTGATCAGTTACAGTGATCAGTTACAGTGATCAGTTACAGCTCTGATCAGTTACAGCTCTGCTACAAATCTGATCAGATCTGATTCAGCTGAATCAACTGACAATTGCTTATTTAGCTCATTTTGGATTTATCTGTGTGGTGATAATAGTCTGGCAATGGATTTAAAAATACTTACAGCAATTGATTTATATTTAAATGCCTCTTTTTACAGTAATCATCCATTGTTTGTAAGCTTGTGCTCAATGTATCCAAATGAGTTTTTATCAATTGATAATTTGTTAGCAGTGTCTGTATCCACACATTTTATAGACTCGGGAAAATTAAAAAATGACCTTGTTAAGGAAGAAACATTTCATATGTGTAAAGAATTTTTATGGTCTGTGTTTCTTTGTGTTCTTGCTCTTTCAACTGTGTGTTCTACAAGAGTTAAGTGTTACTATAGAACAGTTTTTTCCTAAAATATAAAATTATGTTTAATCTTAATATTGAACCTTATTCTATGTTCATCATCAGATATTGTTAATTTGTTGTTTCGTTCGAAGGCTTCTATTTGAAAGATTTACAAATATAAAATTTGATTCAAAATGTTTTTGTTCCTGATGAAATTTCTTTTTTAAAAACAAATGGGCAATCTTTAAAAACTTTTATCATTAAAACAATTTTCATGGCTTAGATATTTACCTTCTGAAGATGGAGCATTTTGTTTGTGTTGCCTTTTGTTTAGATATAAATACCTTTCAAAAACTTCTTGATTTAAAAATTTGTATTCTCAGTCATTCAAATATAGGCCAGATGCTGTGAGCACTTTTAATAGACATTACCATAGGAAAAACGGGAATAATTATGAATATCACTCAGCTGAAATATTTATGAACATCATCACACAGTACAAACTCTACATTATAATGGCTGGACCATATTTTCCGCAGTTTTAAATACTATGAGTAGAAATATTTAAAATATAGATATTTTAATAAAGAATGTGAAAAGGAGATAGCTTTAAATTGTAAGAAGTTGTTTTGTGAGAAAATCATTTTCTTAGGTCAACTTAATATAGCTTTCAGAGGTCATTGTGATGGTCATTGGCAAATATTCTTTAGTGGGTGGAGTAGGTAATTTTATTGAACTTTTAAACTACAGAATCAGAGGTGGGGATAAAATTCTTGATCTTTATCTTAACAGCTGTGCAAAGAATGTATCTTATATTTCTAATTCCTCACAGAATGAATTAATAAGTTGTTGGGAAAAGGACATCCAGAATATTTTGGTTTCTGAAATAAAAGAAAATTGAATTTTTTCAGTTATTTCTGATGAAGCTTCTGACTGCTCCAATCAGGAATAATTGTCTTTAATAATTAGATTAATAGACAATTCCTATGATGTTAGGGAAGAATTTATGTGTTTTTTATATTGTAAATTAGATACTGAATAAAGGTTTGTATATACACTGTATATACTAATCTTTATTCTGTATCTTTAAGATCTTCTTCAAATAGAAAGTTTGTATAATTTTTAAATTAAAAAATATAATTATTTTATTTTTTACAGTTTTATTTATTTAAAAGGATTATTTATTTTATTTTAGTTGTTATTTT